TTTTTTTTATATTACTTCATTCGTGAAGTTTACGATTTTCAGTGTTGGTTGGAAATGCTATCTAACATGAAGCTTAAGTGTGGTAATTCATTAGCTAGTGAAAGGTCTGAGTAGGGTAGGTAGTTAGTTTCGCTAGAGTATGGCAGTTTGAAAATTGAACTGCCTTACTCTAGCGGAACTAACAACCTACCCTCTTCAAACCTTTCTCTAGCTAAACATTATCACACTAAAACTTCATGTTAGATAGCATTCCCAACCAACTTTGACTTTTAGCATATTAATCAAATGTGTGACATTTGAACAATGTAATAAGACACCTACTTTAATGAAAATCAATCATATGCAACTCCCCCTGCACATCCCTCGCATCGTTGGATAACTCTCACGTACGAGAACTTTATTTGCCTTTCCTGGGTGCTGTCCTAGTACTCACCCTGGTATTTTTTGTTTTGTTTTTGCGCCCCCGTGTGCCCGACTGTCAAACTAGCTTTCCCCTTCAGCCGGTAGAGCCGGGTCTTTTGCAAAACCAGAATCCACGCGCAAAGGGTATTACAACTCTTGTTTCCTCACTGCTGCCCGTCAGGACCGAGACGAGGAAGCAGACCCGCACAGTCGGAAACAGACGCGGAGCGAGATGGCGAGAGGCGAGATGGGAAATGTAATGAAGTACTTTTAACCTCATCAATCTTTCCACAGCAGACATTTCGTTGCTCTTTTGTTTCAATATTTTCTGAAACTTATGGATCTGCGTCTTTGCTTTGGCATGGTTCTTTTATTTTTTTTGCTACTCGTCTCCAGTCCGGATCTTTCATCAACATCATCGCCATCCGGGAAGCGACCTTATTTGTTGCCGCCCCCTCTCAGTTCTTCCGTTTTTCACATGTCCCCCTTTCCCCCTTTCAGGAATCGGTTTACACACGGTAGAATGCCAATGAGCAAAAATGCGCAGCACCAACGGGTCGCTAGTCGGAAGCCGAAGCCGATGATGGGCCCTCGGGTGGGACCGTTTATTATGTGTAACTGATTATAAAATCGTGACGAAATTCTCATTTCCTGTATTTACGTATTCATTTCGTTTTTATACTTGCTCATTCCGTAGGCGACGGGTGGGTGGCTCAAATTTACGGAAAGGATATTGGATAATGTGAGTATGAGCTTCTTGGAGGATGTCAGGAAATTTGAAGAAAGTTCTCTTGACGACGAATGCGTAGAAGTTGCTGTATCGTGTCTAATAAATATTTTTTTTTTTAATTTATCTGCCCTTTTCTTATTGCCTAAAATTCAATTAGAACTATTGTTTAAAGTCTGCTTTTTTTAACTGTGTCGCTGAAAAGAAAAGCTGATAGTTACGACGGCGGCGGTGTCAACGATGCGAAGGCCAACAATAGTAGCAACGATAATCGAAATGTCAAAAAGTGTATTTGACAAAGCGGAAAAGCCCGTTCATCCATTCTTTCGTTCCCTCCTCTATTTCCTTTTACCACGCGTGGAATCGGATCTTTGAGGTTATACGCTCCCTCACGCACATCGATGGATTGCCAGACTTGACTGATGGTGGCAGTGGAGGCTTTGCCAGGATGAATAGGAGTTGTCTGGACCCCATAGAAAGGGACACGTTTTGAGATTTAAATTCCTGGTGGTACATCATAGTAAGAAGAATCGATGATTGGGGGAGCGGGAGGTGGTTGACCCGAGGGGAGTCAAACGGCGTGAACTTTGCAGCTAAACGGATGTGACTAGGATGATTGATGAAGTTGATGGTTGGAAAAAAGGCTTGTGCGTGCTTGGGAAATTTGAGGAGCGAGCATTTTTTTTTCTGGTGCCACCATTTTTCATTATCGAGAGTTTGAGGGGTGAAATAAAACATCAAACCAGCTCTGATATTTTTATTTTTGGAAGATACGGGTAGGCTGATTGAAAAAAGAAACACTTCAAAGCGATCAGAGGTATATCCCGGTGGAAATTATATCCAATATAAATATCAATCCGAAGAAAACAAGTTTGAAGCTACGGTAAAAAGTTTCGAGCCAGGACTACTGGAATGGATGTGTCAGAATCCAGCAGTATGAATTTCTTGTCTTACTACTTTACTTAGTCCTGTATTTACTTGGATGGATGTGGGTCATAAAATCAGTTAAACCTATGGTTAAGATTTGAAAAATGTTGAGTGCATTCTCGATGTGGTTTGTTTTTCTTAACCCTTACGTGCCGGCAACTATTTTGATGTTCACATTGAATAAAAATCAGCATCATGTATCACTCTGTAGACACTTTCTTGTGACATGTTTCAGTCACAATTAAGCTATTGAAACTTTTCGTGATGGAAGTATGCTAGGGTAAATTAAGGCTTTGGAAATACCATAACCTTTTAAGGACAGAGGCAATGCTTAGTTTTGGCAGATAGGTTCTCTGAATCCTAATATATCCTCATGCAAAAAATGAGCACTAAAGGACTTAACTTACCTCCTGACGATAAAAGGTAATGGATTTGCCGAAGCCGTCATTTACCATACATGGAATGGATTGGATAAATCATGAAGTCACACAAGTTTATACTTGTGTGACTTCATGATTTATCAAATCGATTCCATTTGAATTGGCAAATCAAAGTTGGCACTCGTGGAGAATAGATGAACTATGAAAGTAATGATGGTTTCAAAATTTTACACGATGAGGTATACGAGTTCAATCTTAAAATGCCTTTATTTTGCAAATGGAGCATTTTATTTAAATCTGGTTAATGCTACGTTAGTAGAAAACTTAAGGACTACTCAATAGATATATAATATAGAAAAAAAAATATTTATTTTCAGATTTTTAGGTGTATGCATGGATTTCAGCTTTTCTACAAATGTAGCAACAACCAGATTTAAATACAATACTCCATTTTCAAAATAAAAGCATTTTAAGATTGCACTCGTATAGCTCTCCGTGGAAAATTTTGAAACCATCCTCACTTCCATAGTTCGTCTATTCTTCACGAGTGCCAACTTTGATTTGTCAATAGCTTCATTATCTGCTGGACCGTCAAGCAGTACAGTTTGGTTATTACTCGCTCTCTCGAGTGGTTCGCTAGTTCGTTGCGACAGTGTTCGCGCTCTTTTTTCGGGGTGTTTGGTTAAGCATGGAGAAATCGCTATTGGCAAACAATCGTTACACCATCCTAGAAAACGGCGTCACCGAAAGTGGAAAAGAAGGAGAAAGTTACACCGTTCCTCGTTAATGGGGTGTTTACACTTATGCTATTTTACTAGTGCTAATGAGCTAGCTGCTAGCAAAAATGCTCACTAGCATAATGTTAACAGGGAATTAGCGTCTACCAGCATGATATTTCAGGAGCAACTGAAATTCGTGCTAGTTGGCGAGTAAACTAGCGCGAGGATTTCCGAAAAGCTTGCGGGAGAAAATTCATTTTACACCGGTAAATGTCTCCAGTGTACCATGCACCTGTGCACTGAAGGCAATCAAGCTGATGATACCAGCGAGGCCGTCGAGGCGTTGCTGAAGCAGAAAAGCGTGGAGTATTTTTCCCACGATATTGAGGCGACCAAGCCGCTCTAGGTGGTCTTGCGTGGTCTTCCCAACATGGAAATAGTCACACTGTCGGATGAATTCAAGCAACATGAACTTAAGCCAATCAACATCTTCAAGATTAATAGTCCTGACTCTTCACGTAAGTACCACGACTAGCACTATCTGGAAAGGAATTCAACATGTTTGAAGGACCCTCAGAGCACCTTTTCGACATCATGGTGATTTTGTAGTAGTACAAGGCAGTGATGCCACCCAATGCACAAACCATGCTGTTCGGGCATGGAACAAGAAACTGCCACATGGCCTATCACTGCAAAAATTGCGGCAAACATGCGAGCTAATGAAGGACGCAGATCCCAAATGTGCCATTTATGGTGCAGCACCAGCAAAACCCCGAAGCCCGAAGCGGGCGGAATTCATTAATATAAAAAAAAGCCTCTACGCAGCCTGGCCACAGAAGGGTGCCAGAAAATAACAGGCAGAACTTTCCAGCCATTCTCCAACGGCGTCAAATTCCCGTGCTTCCGCCACTTCCACTCAACAACCGTAATGAAGCATGAAGGTGCTCCCCCTTCACCAACGATCGAGAACGCAGACACTCTGCTTACAACGGTGGAGCTAGTTATACTCGTAACAGAAGTTATCATGATCCATCCAGTGCATCCATCAGACCTGAACAGAACAGCTTCATGCTGCCGTATCCCTCATCAATAAGTATCCCAAGCAACAATTTGGGTTTTATGAGGGTACTTGAGTGCTTTAAAACCTCAATAAAACTTACAATGTTACTTGGGATGAACCAAAAAGCCATCAAAATTGCCATTTGGAACGTTTGGTCGCTCCAGAGCAAGAGCATCGAGTTCGTTGAATTCCTCAACAAACGAAACATCGATATCGCCATCATCACCGAATCGCACTTGAAGTCCGAGATGAATGTCGTGCTTCCCGATTTCCGGCTTGTGGGGCTGGATCAAACCAGCTGCAGGGGAGAAGAAGTGGCCAACGCTCTAAGGAGGAACATCGACTGTCGGCTGCTGCCGAGCTTCCAGCTGAAGATCATCGAAACCGTAGGGGTGGAAGTTTCTACCCCCATCGGTCTCCAAACGAGTCAACATCAGGGATGGGTCGTCACTAGACCTTTGACGAGATATTCTCAAGCTATCGACGGCAGGAAAACTTCATCATCGCTGGTGACCTGAACGCCAAACATCAAACTTGCAGGAAGCACAGTACGACATCTTGAGTCTGGACACTCCCACCCGGTTGAGAATATGCGGTGCCCACGCTACCATCGACATATAAATCAACAACATCGCTCAACCTATCACCTACCAGGAACTCAGCTCATACCACCATCCGGTGGTGGCCGAAGTTTGTTCCTCGGTGAACCGATTCGAAGCTTCCCGGCACAAATACCATCGTGTCAACTGGGATCAATATCAATACTGCGTCGACACAACCAACAACTACGATGCCGAACCGGAGACGACCGAAGACGTTGACCAGTACTTGCTTTCCATCGTAGAGGTGATATCCCGGGCCAGGAAACACCGCGTGCCAGTATCCAGACAGGTGAGCAATACTCTGAATCTTGACAGATCGACCAAAGACCTACGTAACATCATCCGAAGGCAGTACCAACACTCTGGTTTGCCTGTCCATAAGAGCAATTGGAATCGCGTTACCAAAATTTTCCAAGCCAGAATGGCTTAACGACTTTGGTAGTAAAATTCGCTATCTCCCAGATTGTGCTGTTCTGGAATCTTACCAAAATTCTTAAAAAACAAGCCTAGGTCCATTCCACCACTGATACCGCTGAATCGTTCTGACGATTCAGTGTGTCATCTGATAACCCATGTAAGGAAGGCTGCAGTGAAAGGTCAACACTTCGTCAGTTCCCACAATTTCGGATAGAACAGCATAAGTCCACACGAGGCCGCGGTTGCTGTGAAACGCAGCCAACCTCCATCAGATTCCCAACATTTTTCCTGAGGAATCCAAGATCACAGCTGTCGAACTGTTGGCCAATATCAAATCATCAAAAAATATGAGTTCCCCAGGTTTCGACAACATCCTCAATCTGGCACTCAAACATTTCTTCTACCATTTGGAATTGATTTTCAATCAGTGCCTCCGACTTGGCTACTTCCCCTCGGGATGCAAGTCAGCTAAAGTCACACCCATCCGGAAACCTGGGTAGGATCCTTCCTCTCCTTCAAGTAACCGACCTTCTCTCAACCTTCTCTCAGGGCTACCCAAGCTGTTCGAAAGAGTAGTTGACAGCCGGTTTTCTAACATCTGCCGAAGAAAACAACATCTTACTCGAGGAGCAGTTTGGTTTTCGAAAAGGTCGATCGACCGTCCACCAACTGACTCGAGTAACAAACATTCTTGGACGGAACAACCCAAGTAACATTGTAAATTTTATTGAGGTTTTAAAGCACTCTACAAGTCTAAATCATGGTCGTCAGTACCTTCATAAAACCCAAATTGTTACTTGGGAAGGCTGTTTCTAAAACATCTGCTATGGCATTGTCAGATGTTGAAAAAGCATTTGACGATGTCTGGCATGATGGCCTGGTGTACAAGTTGTATCGATAAGGTCTTCTGATCTTCCTCGTGAAGATCATACAAAATTATGTATCGGACAGGACGTTCCAGGTCTCTCTGAATGGCATCACATCGGATGCCTTCAACATCGGTGCAGGTGTGCCCCACGGGCCCATCCTGTTCAATTTATTCACCTCTGATATTCCGGCTCTCCCTGAAGGTGGATCGTTGTCTCTGTTTGCATACGACACATCCATCGTCTACAAGGGTAGGTTTATCGGAGCTCTGACTACCAAACTCCAGAGAGGCTTGGGTGTCCTGTCAGAGCATTTCAACAGCCGGAAGATCCGTATCAACGTGGCGAAGACCCAGGTCATAACTTTTCACACTCAAAATCTCCCAGGCTTGTTCCGTATGAGAATAACAAAATCTGTCTAAACGGCACAGTGCTGGAATGGTCAAAAGAGTTAGTCTACCTCAGACTGACTCTAGACAGTCGGAGCACGTCGACAAAACGAAAACCAAGTGCAACATCTTGATAAGCCACTGGAAAATAAGCTTACTGTCTACAAGCAAATCATCCTTCCGGTAATCGAGTACGGTATGTCAATCTGGGGGAGTTACGCCAAATGCATTACATGCATTAATACATTCGGTTAAAATGCTAGTTCAATCTAGTAGTAGTGTTGCCAAGTGGTACAATCCAGTAGTAGTGGTGTTGCCATGTGGTACACTGAAAAATTGCAATAGCAGGTTAGTCACCAAAGTTTTCGAGCCGCTCCGTCTGTCACTTCGTTTGTGCTGCTACTGCTACTGCTACTGCTACTGCTACTGCTACTGCTACTGCTACTGCTACTGCTACTGCTACTGCTACTGCTACTGCTACTGCTACTGCTACTGCTACTGCTACTGCTACTGCTACTGCTACTGCTACTGCTACTGCTACTGCTACTGCTACTGCTACTGCTACTGCTACTGCTACTGCTACTGCTACTGCTACTGCTACTGCTACTGCTACTGCTACTGCTACTGCTACTGCTACTGCTACTGCTACTGCTACTGCTACTGCTACTGCTACTGCTACTGCTACTGCTACTGCTACTGCTACTGCTACTGCTACTGCTACTGCTACTGCTACTGCTACTGCTACTGCTACTGCTACTGCTACTGCTACTGCTACTGCTACTGCTACTGCTACTGCTACTGCTACTGCTACTGCTACTGCTACTGCTACTGCTACTGCTACTGCTACTGCTACTGCTACTGCTTAAAAGATCGTCGGTCAGAGTGAACTGATGTGATGATAGGGCTCGGTGGCTTAGAGATGACCGTTATTGGTTATTGAGTCGATCGAGCAAATGATTCAATCGCAGACGCCTTCTCATTCGCATCTAGATCTCTAGAATTGTCATTATATATAAACCTGGGAGGGAGAAGCTGACTCGAAAATGTGAACGTCAAAAAGAGCCAGAACCAAGCTGTCACGAACCGTCATTTTGAGTCAAGTTGAGTTTTGATGATGCTTTTCTTACAGTTGAATGAGAATGCACAAGGCGGTATTGAAATCTTGCGTTAAGTAATGTATGACAAACTATCGTTTCCAGCTACCTTGTTCAATGGGATATCGTTGTTTACATTAATTCATTGAATATAGGGTAGAGCACTAATTCGACCAAATCGCCCATGTTGGACCTATAGAGCAGAAAACATCAAATAATTTAATTGTTTCAGAGTTAACAAATCAATTGTGCATTTGGTACGATACTTTAGTTCAATAGCTACTGAACGAAGTAAATGAGAACGCGTGATATGAAACCCATTTTTCTCAAAAACAAAAGAAGCGCTCGGACGTGGCAAGTGAGGCAAAGGACTTGGCAAAGGAGGAGCCAGTTGTGTTGCATGATAACTTACAGAGTATTACCAAGTCCGCCGTCCGTCGTCTGATCTAAAACCCGAGTGTGCTTCAAGGTAAGGTGATGCTGGAAAACGTCATTCGTGGCGCTGTTACCTGAAGCGTCAGGAACGCACCTGAGGTTAAGCTTCGTTCATTTTCCCTATCCGAAACGGCCTTGTCCAGGGCCACCAACTAATATCAAAAGAGATTGTTTAGGAATTCTACTAATCTTGGCATGAATGAAATTCCTGGAACCAGCAAAACGGTAGCAACCAAGCTTCTAATCCTGAAGCAACTGGGCTCTCTGAGTGCCCATTTCTCGTAGCGATGAAGACTAGCTTTCCAAACACCGGGTCAACCCGTGTCCAGCGTAGCCGTACAAAGAAGTATTTATAGTGATCTTATATGGTTGACACAGAAATGCCTTATTGCATTGAAAAGCAAGAAATTCAAATAGCCAGAAAATTTTTGTGACCCTGAAAAGGGCCGTTTGATTTGTCAGATGAGTTCTGATGAACACAGCATAGCTTTGCTGTTGGCTTACACTCCGGTACGGAGCAGATTGCCAACGCCCTGAGTTAAGAGCCTAGAGCTCGAAAAGTGACAAAGTGGTTCAACGTGTAAGAGTTATACTTTTTACTGTCAAGGCGGACGTTGCAAACGAAAATTAAGTCCACTCACGATCCATGTCCAGGTGCAAATATTTCTTCATGAGCTCGACGAACTTCAAGTTCCCTTCGTTCATGAGGTCCATGTTAAAATTACCCAGCACAATCATGGGCATTGGCTCCAAGCAATATTTCGTCAGATTCAGCGCACAAAAGTACTGCTTCTGCTTGTACGACAAATCTGTACGATAGTAAATAGAACAGAAAATCAAAATATAAAAATGAGGTAAGGAAAATAATTAAAATATGGTTCAGATTAATACCTGGCTCAATAAAGATACACATTACCATTTATTATATAAGACCACGTAGTCTTACGTCACCATTGCGTACAACCCCATAGGGCTGTCCCTTGTAGTTTTTTTTAAATCTCAAAATCACCCATGGTGTGCAATGTGCATGCACACTACACACCAAATTTAAATCGCTAAAAATCAGCATAATTTTTCTGATCTTAGACTTGATGAAAGGTCAGCAAACGTTCCAGTTATATAATGCTGTTCACTTTTCCAGCAATTCCAACATCTGTCAAAATGACAACATTTTACTGAAAATCAGTATTGATTTCAGCAATATTTATTTACTGACTTTTTCAGCAATTCAAAATTCTGACATTTGGCAGCATTCTGATGATAAAACTATTAAACTCAGTAAATCGAATTTGTTTTCACTAGTAACTTCCAGCTTCTGTAAAAGATCGTTAATACAAAATAAAGACAAAATCGACAGGCTCTTTTCCATGTATAATTTATTGAATATAACCAGTGTCCTTCGTACATAATTTTATCTATTTGTAGCTGTAGTCTTCCTCATCCTGCAGGCTTGACGATGGTGTACAAATGAAAAAAATACTTGCGACTGAGATGCTAACAGTTTGACAGCTTTCGTGTTCAAATGATTTGCGATGGTCAATTCTCAATTATTAATGATTTTTGGCACCAATTTCGTGCCCTCGCTGACCCCGTGCTCTGCTACCTGTGTGAATGACTAGATGATTCGTTTCCTTCCACATCATATGGGCGACCATCGTCGCCAACCAAAGCTGACATGCTACGTGCTCCACAATATGATCGATGATCCGCCCTGTAGCACCCCATCGGAACCCACCTAAGCAACATGGTAAAACGCAGCAAGTAATTGCATCGCAGAAGCACATCACAACAACACACACACACATCGAGTTTCATCACCAACTAACCTAACAGCAGCATCAGCAGGGCCACTACAACAGGCAGACACCCATGGTTTATTTTTGTACAGCGAACCCGAAAGCATTCTTTCGCTTCTGGGGGAAACATTGCTCGACTATCGCCCTGCAGCAGCAGCAAAAAAAAATGTTTCCGCCGCACATCGTTTCCTTTAATTTCGTTTTAAAATTTAATAAAAGCTAAATGAATGAAAAGTACCGAGCGAAAAAAAAAACTCTAGCAAACAACAACCGAGAAGCGCTGTGTGTGTGTATGTTAGTGAGTCATCTCGTCGCTCCACTTCCCAGTTAGCGGTTAAACAATAGATGCTACGTTGCGCTGTTACCATTGCCTTTAGAAGGGTGCCGATTCAGTTTTGCGCTTTAGTTGGGTGGGTAATTTTTTTTTCGCCGGCTGCTCACCTAACAACGTGAAATATGTTTATAAAATAATTTTCATTGTTATACGTCCCCCCGGTGAGATTGTCCGTCTGAGCTGCAAGAATGTGCGTGTTGTTTTTGTTCCGCCCTGTCGCACACAGTGGTCGGAGGAGGATCAAATCGTGGCAGAAATTAAGGGCTCTTCAAGGTTGCATTATGGAATCCTTGTGTCTTCAGCAAAGCTGATCCTTCGTACCTAGACCTTCATTTGGTGTCATCATTTTAGTTTTGTTTTTACAAGAGTTATATCCAACAGTAAACAAGGTTATCTATAAACTTCCCCAAGGCACCATCCTTCTATAATCACGGTGACTCTGAAGTAAAAATCTATTAGGAAAAAAAAATCAGTATCGCTGAAACACCCACCAACCGAAAACTTAGGATCACCCCTATCACATGAGATTAGTATGGAAATGTCTAGAACAAATTTTGTTTTCTTCGACTTTTTCACTATTAATCACGCCCAAAAATCAACCCTCCCGTCCATTGCAATGACCTCCGATAGAACATTTTAAAACTAGCCTCAAACTAAAGAGGGGCTCCTAAGGTTTCTGTTCACATACTCGCGAAAGCAGCATCTGGGTGTACCTGTATCGACCGATAGCACCATAAAACTGATCCGTCGATCATGGTGCACAGTGATACAAATTGAATTAAAGATGGTCGTTGTTGTAGCGTTCCACACGGGCTTACTATGCGCACTCACACAATCATAGCATGCTGCCTATCTTAACTACAGGCAGAAGATGCCTTCTACCGGTACGCCAATGAAAAGTAGAGCCACTTTCTAATCCGAAGATCCACTTCTGTTCTGTGCACATCCAAATTTTTTTTTTCCTTGGCTTGTTTTCCGTCGATCTTGTTTTCCGTGCTGAGCACCAATGCTACCGACGCCAGGAAGGCAGCTCCCACATCTGGACCCTGCCCGGATAAAAATAACCATAAAATTACAATAAAATACCAATAAAATACAATAGATTCTATTGTTGACAATTTATCTTATTGTGATTCTATTGTATTGGCCAGATAATCAAATAGTCACCACAATAGGTTTACAACAAATACTATGGAATCAAAATTTTGCACAATAAAATAACAATAAAATTTATTGTAATGAGATCAAATTTGTTAGAGAAAAAATTGATTTTTTTTTATGGTTACGGTAACTAACAACCCCCCTTTTCTATTGTAAATGTCTCATAAACAATAGATTATATTGTACATAACAATAAGTTCTATTGTATTTTTATTGTTTTTGACAATAACATTTATTGTTGCTACAATAGATTTTATTGTATTGTAACAATAGGTTCTATTGTTTTTGTATGGTAAATTTTTATTCGGGTACCTATCGACCCATCAACTCATGAACCGGGGACCAACGGCTGTACTTCCCTTCCGAAGGAAGGCGTGATCAGAGATGTTATGCCTCAGAACATCCCGGCGGCGCCGACTGGGATTGAACCCAGGCCTGCTGGGGTGAGAGGTAATCACGCCTACCACTACACCACCGGCGACGCTTATGCACATCCAAATTATAACTTTTTGAAGTTACGAGATAACGGGTTCATGTCTTGGAAAAAGTTGCAGAACAGTTGATTTTATGAACATTTGTATTCCATTTAATGGAAGGTTTCCTACAAATGGGAGAAGGGTGATTGAAAAATTCATTTATTTTTTACGCTATTTTGTCTGCAACTACTCACTCACAAGGCTTCCATAATGCAAACCTGAGCAGATTTAATTTATCCCACAATTTGATACTTCTCCAACCACTGTGCATCGGTCGAGGTAGTGAGGAAAAGTGTGAAAAACTTTTTCTGTTGAAAATTTTCTGCACACTCTTTCTGTGTCTTTGTGTGTACTCCTGTTTGGGACCCATCGATGGGTGACGACAAAGACGGCGACGGTAACGACGACGACGACGAAGATATCAACGGCGGTCGGTGCAGCCGTTCAACCACATGCACATGCACTAGAACTGGTGAGTGGTGAAGAACCCATTCCAGTTGGTGAGCGAGAACAAAGAGATCCGACACTAGACTGTTGTTGGTCTGTGGAACGCTGCCTGGGTTGGGGCTTGGCGGTTGTGTGACGAAATAATTCTGTTCCACCCGGATTCTTTGAAGTCATTATATATAGCACACGTTATGCCAAGCGGAACAATCAGCAGAAGCAGACTGTTAGCGGCGAGGAAAACTGTGCACAAACATTGTAAGTATATGTACAGATTTCGAGAACAAAAGGGAGATTACGATTAGTGCTGCGGAGTAAACAAAGTGTTGGAGTTTGCCACGTTTGCTATCACTTGGAAGTGATTACGGGATTCCGATTGATCGACGTGGCAAATAAAAATTGACGGAAGGGACGTTTTTTTCTAAGACTTCAAAATCAAACCCCCTTAAGTACTCATCCCATAGGTAAACGCGTCAATATCACAGATATAAAAATGAAACTACAACGTGCCTAACTTATAACCCAAGAATTAAATAAAGTAAAGAGCCTTTATTGGGATCGACACTGATGAAGACTACACGTTGTAGTCGATTATAGGGATATACACATGAATTACGAGGTTCTTCTTTGGCTATTTATTAGTCAACGGTTCCGGACATCAAAGCGAGTTACAATAGTAGTAGTAAAATTATATTTATTTCTGTTGATTATGGTAGTATATTGATTTTCATTGATTAGCCTACCTGGCTCTTCATCTTTGTTTAATTTGATATTCTAAATTAATATTTGTGTTTTTCAACTAGTTTACAATTTTTTTTTTATTGAACGGCTACACAGTCTTTGTTAAATTGAACGAGTTTTTATTTACCCGACGTTTCGACACGGAGATTGTGTCTTCTTAAGAGGGAACTGTAATTTTATGTATCAATATACTATGTTTTCCTTACATATTTATGTTATGGTGACTTACAATAGTTTTTTTCGTTTTATGTCTTATGTTTTGTCTAACTTTAACTGTCCGGTCTCTAATGTGTTGGTACATGCTGTAAATTGAGTATTTGTTTGTTACTTATTGTTTTTAGTATACTAGTTTTCAGAATATCCCTTTGGGGATGTGTTTTATTTGAATTGGAAAAAGTGATAACCTACCTAAATACGAGTATAACTTAACCTAACGTGCCAGATCACGTATGATCTGATGATTTGATCTCAGACAGGTGTCTCTGAACCTTTCCAGGATGAATACTCTCCGTTCTTCTAATGTCTGAATTCCAGTCCACGGGGGACTGTTTAGGACCATCCTAAGGATCTTGTTCTGGATCCTTTGGAGTTTAAGGTGATGGCATTTTGCGCAACTCTCCCAGATTGACATACCGTACTCGATTACAGGAAGGATGATTTGTTTGTAGACAGCAAGCTTATTTTTCAGGGACAGGGTTGACTTTCTGTTGATAAGTGGATACAACGATCTTATCAAGATGTTGCACTTGGTTTTCGTTTTGTCAACGTGCTCCCTAAAAAGAAGCTTGCTGTCTAGTGTTAGCCCGAGGTACACGACCTCTTTGGACCATTCCACCACTGTGCCGTTCAGACAGATCTTGTTATTCTCCGACGGAACAAGTCTAGGAGATTTAGAGTGTGGAAAGATAATGACCTGGGTCTTTGCCGCGTTGATACGGATCTTCCAGCTGTTGAAATATTCAGATAGGACATCCAGGCCTATCTGAAGTTTGGCAGTCAGAGCTCCGCTGACCCTACCCTTGTAGACGATGGATGTGTCATCTGCAAACAGAGACAACGATCCACCATCAGGGAGGGCCGGCATATCGGAGGTGAACAGGTTGAATAGTATGGAGCCAAGGATGCTTCCTTGTGGAACCCCAGCACCAATGTTGAAAGCATCCGATGTGATGCCATTCAAAGAGACTCGGAACGTCCTGTCTGATAGATAGTTGTTTATGATCTTCACTAGGAAGATTGGAAGACCGTACTGCTGCAATTTGAACACCAGGCCATCATGCCAGACATTGTCGAACGCTTTTTCAACATCCAACAACGCCATGGCAGATGTTTTCGACACAGACTTGTTCCGTCTGAGAATGTTTGTTACTCGAGTCAGCTGGTGGACGATCGAACGACCTTTCCGAAAACCAAACTGTTCCTCGAGTAACAAGTTGTTTTCATCGGCAGATGTTAGGAGCCGGTGGTATAGTGCTCTTTCGAACAGTTTTGAAAAATGTTAGGATTCTGAAGAAGATTGATGGCATTTTCAGCAACCTCAGATTCATTAGGGCTGACGATGTTTTGTCCGAGATTATGGCAGCTGACGAAGTGTTGACCTATCGCGGCAGCCTTCTCTTCAGGAGTTATCAGATGAACCACTGGGTCGCCAGGACGATCCAGTGGGGTCAGTGGGGGAATGGGCCTAGGCTTGTTTTTAAGAATTTTTGTAAGTTTCCAGAAGGGCATAGCACAATCTGGGAGAGAGCGGATCTTACTAGCAAAATCGTTATTTCTGAGATCCACCATCCTGGCCTGAATGATCTTTGTTCTTCATTCCTTTATTTAACGTCGGTCTCTGTTCCGCAATCTAGTGCCAATCACCGACGGACATCGATTGCCATCCATTGACGGCAACCGAATGTGCAGGAAGGCAGCTTCCACACCTGCGTAGGATATCGCACCCATTCACAACACACATGGGCCGGGACCAACGGCTTTACTTCCCTTCCGAAGGAAGACGTGACTAGAGATTTTTATGCCTCAGAAAAATCCCACCGACCTCGGCTGGGGATTGAACCCAGACCCATTGGGGTGTTAAAAAGCAGTCACGCTTACCACTACACCACCGGCGTCGGCTTTTTTAAAATATCCCCCCTAGGACTAATGATCTTTGTTAATCGATTACAATTGGTCTTCAAGTTAGGCAGGCCAGTACGCTGGTACTGCCTACGAATGGTGTTACGGAGTCTAATGAGATCTTTGGTAGGGCTGTCAAGGTTCAGAGTGTTACTCACCTGTCTGGATACTGGCACGTGTTGTTCCCTGGCCCGGGAAATCACCTCCTCGATGGTTTGTAGACACCGGTCAACATATTCCGACGTCCCGGTTGGACATCGTAGTCGATGGTTGTGTCGACGCAGTGTTGATATTGCGTCCAGTTGACTCGATGGTAGTTGCGCCGGGAAGTTTCGAATCGGTTTACCGAGGATCCAACTTCGGCCACCACCGGGTAGTGGTCCGAGCTCAGCTCCTGGAATGCCACAGGTTGCGAGACGAGCGAGTTACAATAGGGTGCTTAGGATTTATATACCTACTTGACCGGATGTTCATTCTTTTTCTCGTGAGCACTACCAACTCTCTATGTAAATTATGTTCACTTACAATACTTCAATATAATCTACATGAAATGGTATTTTGTCAAAATACAATAGGGTATGTTATATAACAATTAACACTACGGAATTGTTACATTCCAAGGTCCAATCGTTGGAATCACCGTCACCCAGGATTACATGAATTTCCCTGGAAATCATATACAGTGGAAGCCTGGAAGCGTACCTACCTGCTGCTTTCATCCATGGTCGTCTCAGTGGCATTAGCCTCGTTACCGTCGCTGTCGCCGTCGTTATATCTGTAGAAAGGAAGAAAAGAGAAACCAGAACCTGAAACTACCTGTCCATCCCGCCAAGTTCTCCGGTGAGTCACCCGTCATACAACAGATGTTTTCGGCAGCTTATGATAACATTCTACGTTTTACAACTTTTTTCGAAGACAGCAAACCTGTATTTTGTATCGCTGCATCATCTCTGCGGCCAAAACTTGAACAATTCCACCAAATTATAAAGGGTGATACGGTCAAAATTTGGTCAAGGGAAAACGCGTGTAAATCGGTGAAATCGTTTATTTAAAAAATCAAATTAAATTTCTTTTTCAAGTTCAATTAGTATAAAATTCAGGAAAAATATTCAGTTAGGCGTCCGCTTCTCCAAATCCGAATTGCCGGGCCTTACGCTTGACCCCTGCCATCAGATTTTGTACAGCCACCTTGTCCACCTTCTTCGCCGCAGAAAGCCAGTTTGCCTTGAACTGCTGCTCGCCCTTAGCAGTTTTTTTTTGGTCTTCTTTAAGTTCCGCTTGACAATAGCCCAGTATTTCTCAATTGGGCGGAGCTCTGGCGTGTTGGGAGGGTTCTTGTCCTTGGGAACCACCTGCACGTTGTTGGCGGCGTACCACTCCATGGCCTTTTTACCGTAATGGCAAGATGCCAAATCCAGCCAAAACAGTACGGAACAACCGTGTTTCTTCAGGAAAAGCAGCAGACGTTTATTCAAACACTCTTTCACGTAAATTTCTTGGTTGACAGTCCCGGAAGCTATGAAAATGCTGCTTTTCAAGCCACAGGTACAGATGGCTTGCCAAACCAGATATTTCTTTGCGAACTTTGACAGTTTCATGTGCTTGAAAACATCTGCTACCTTTCCCCTTCCTTTTGCCGTATAAAACTCCTGTCCCGGAAGCTGCTTGTAGTCGGCTTTGACGTAGGTTTCGTCGTCCATTACCACGCAGTCAAACTTCGTCAGCATCGTCGTGTACAGCCTCCGGGATCGCGCTTTGGCCGTCGTATTTTGTTTATCATCGCGATTTGGAGTCACTACCTTCTTGTAAGTCGATAGTCCGGCTCGTTTTTTGGCTCGATGCACGGTTGTAGACGATACACCCAGCTTATTTGCGGCATCTCGGAGAGAGAGGTTAGGGTTTCGCTTGAAACTACCGGCAACTCTCTTTGTCGTCTCAGCGGCTTCCGGTTTTCGATTTCCCCCCGATCCAGACTTCCTGGCTGTCGACAAACGTTCCCCAAACACTTTAATTACATTTGTAACGGTTGATTTGGCAACTTTTAGCGATTTTGCCAACTTTGCGTGCGAGTAGCTTGGATTTTCGCGATGCGCGAGCAAAATTTTGATACGCTGCTCTTCTTGCTTGGACGGCATTTTGACAACTGAAGAGTGAATTCCAAAATCAAAATAGGAGCAACATTCTACACACACACACCTTCAAAATGAGGGGTGTTCAGGTTTTTTAAATGCAAAATTGAAAGAAATACGTCAAGTTGATATTGACCAAATTTTGACCGTATCACCCTTTAGTCCTAATAAATCCAAGAAACTTCACTCAAGACGTCAATGCACTTGGAGCAGTACGATCCTCAGCGTCACGGAGCCACTTATTTCCTATGTCACCCTGGGTATCTGGTTCGAATTTGAGGCAAATTGGTCAACATTTACCCATCTCTAAACCGTGTTGCAATTTGTATGGGAAAAATCGTCAAAATGTATAGAGAAACTGTAGTATTTTTTTTCCTTGATTTGTTTTGTACTGAGTACCAATGCTACCGACTCCAAGGAGGCAGCCCCCACACCTGGACCCTACTTATCAACCCATCATTTCATGAGGCCGACGACCAACGGCATTACTTCTCTTCCGAAAGAAGGTGTGATCAGAGATATTATGCCTCAGAAAATATCGACAGTGCCGACTGGGATTGAACCCAAGCCCATTAGAATGAGAGGCAGTCACGCTTACCACTACTCCACTGCCAACGATAGGGAGATGCAGTAACTTCAGTGCCGTACATCGCAAGTTCGTCCCTTGGCACAAGTCAGCAAGCCGAGAAAAACGCGTTTAAAGTTATCTTCTCACCATTGCTTTTTATGTAATAGGACAATCTATTTGGCTATTTTTCCAAACTATTCCAGAACAAAGCTGTTGAACTCTGGCATTAAAAAAATATGAATATAAAATAAGTCTCCATTGAAAAAAATCAATTTTGACAAAAAACGCAAGTGGGACCGACTTGTGATGAGCGGCAGTTCAGGGATATACAAAAAACTTTAGCAAAGTCAAGAAAACCTCGGAGAAGGTCAGAGAACTTTGTGGAAACTTTTAATAAGTTTCAAGAACCTCATTGAAGCTAGATCTCGACATCTTCAGGGAAGCTCAGAGATCTTAAGGGCAGTCAAAGTAACTTTAGTAGTCCAGACCATTAACTTCAGGACAATTAAAGAACTTTCGAGAATATTAGAGTGGTCCAAAGAACTCCTGAAAAACTACGCAATCTTCAGACAAGTTTGGAACACAAGTCCAAAGATTTTCAGGGCAGTTTAAAGATTTTCATGACAGTTTTATTTATTTCAGGGCAGAACCAACAACGGCGAAAACTTTGCTGGAAAATCAGACAACCTCAGCTCAGGCAGTTCAGTTACTTCTAAAAGATTACGGGAACTTTACACAGCTGTTTCTGTGTGTTGTACTCTAAGTTCTGTGCAAAATTATCATACAGGAGAAAATTGACGTGACTCTCCGCTGGCAGCAGGCAATTCTGTTGCGGTGCTAGCACATATCGTTGATAATAGACAATTGAAGTGTATTAGAGAACGCCTGCGCAAAAAAGACTATGGTGGGAAACGGATTCGAAACTCAAATGGTATTAGCCAAATACATCCATACACGCAAACCAAAAAATTAATAACAATGAATGTTAGTTCCACTTCCCATCATCCTCTGTTCATGAACATCGCAGCGAATGTTAGAAGTTGAGCTTGCAGGCGATGTAATGGTTTTTTGTCTTTTTTATTTCGTGATCTATCTACGCTTTCGACAATACCAGTAAGCTTTTAATTTATAACATTGTAAAACGACACACACACACACTTGCCTCGAATCTCTCCAGCAGAAAAAGCAGACGAAGTCGAGTATGATAGGAAATGAGCGCTTCATGTTCAGAAGTATGGAGAGAGCAGTGGAGAAAGCACAGGTCTGTTAATCGCAACGTTCGTGGTTCGAGTCCAGTCGGCATCCTTTTTCCTATATTTTTTTTCGACATAATTCATTTCACTCACTAATACACTTCACATTTTTCGGTCTCCAATTTTCTTACATTGGACCGCAGCTAGGTATATCGCATCCTCGGTTCATGCGGTCTCCACTTACATCCTATGGTGATGAATCCCACATAATTGTAACCGAATCTTACATCCCCCGGTTGGGTGTAGACCATATAGGTCCACCGTTGTATAATTGGCAATGCACCCCTGTACTGAATAGAGTTCTCTACCATCGTTAGTATTAATGAGCTGTTTCACTAATACAAGCGTTTTTCTGGTTGAAAATAAAAAACAAACCGCTGTCAAATCGAACACTTTGACAGCTGATTTCGTGGTTGAAAATAATAAACAAATCCATTTTACACGGCTACACTAGCAACGTTGTATTGGTGAAATCTTGCGGCAAGAAGTCAATGGGAATTGTGGGTTCGAATCCCACCGGTGCCCTTAGATGTTTTCGCATATTTTCCCACACACACGTCTCTAACCGATGATATGTGCTTACCTCTCAGTATGTTCAAACTTTCTTACGTTGCAATTCTTTTTCGACATTAAAATACATTTTGTTTAGGGACTGTTCATAAACTACGTAGACAGTTTTTTTGGGATTCTTGATCCCTCTCCCTCCCCCTTCGTAGGCAATTGTCCACACAAAATTTTTAAAATTTGTATGGGTCGTGGATAATTGTAAACCCCCCTCCCCCCCTAAACTGTCTACGTAGTTTATGAACAGCCCCTTATACAAAACTAAGTAATCAGCGTTAAATTATAAAATTACCGAATGGTTTATCTGATAGCACGCCGCCGCCATGCCATGCCATGCCATTTCGCTTCGTGGACGTTGCCATGTTTGAACGCACTCACACGATGACAGACCAAAAGGCTTTTCAGTGCGAAATCTTAAGCTGGGTTTAGATAGGGCAAGTCAATTGATCAAGTCAGTTGAATTCAACTGACTTGAACGCGAATTGAACGTGTAAACCATGCCATTCATCTGACTTGATCAACTCACTTGAATTGAAAAAAGTTGAACCAGGCTCAACTTTTCAAGCCAATTGAATTCAACTGAGTTGATCATTGCCCTATCTAAACCCAGCTTTACTGACAGGAGAATGACAGAAAAGGAGCAGGGCAGAATCTAAGAGAAGAGGTGACAATACGGAGGCAAAAATGAACCACTTTTATATCAAACGTGAACCAGCTCGTGATTGGCTGATTTGATGAGCGTACGATAGAGATAGACATAGATAAAGATAGAGATAGAGATAGAAATTATAGAGTAAGAAGCCAATTGTCACCTCTTCAGGGTAGAATAAAAACATTTCAGGGAAAACATGTCAGCATGGTATAACTCGAAGCGTAAACAATGACTTTGATCGTCGATTTCTCTTGAATGACCACACATCCACGGAATCTGACTACAGCAGCTCGTAGAACAAACATTTCTCTGTCAGATGATTTAGTAAGTTTGAATGGGTGTGTAAGAAACCGACGATCCAAGTCATAGTTTACGTTTCGAGTTAGACCCTTCTGAAATGTTTCCCCTGATTTGAGAGATCTAGTGGTGTTTATAAGAGAAGGTGAACATCTTCCCGGTGCCTCTTCTGTTCCAAAACCAAGTGAGTTCGTTGTGCCTGGTGTCCGTTGGGGATATCGCCCCTTTGAGGCCGTCTAAACTGTGTAGACCGAAAGCTTCGTCTCGTCAAGGAATAAATCCGTGACTCCAGTGTGTGTTCGCGGTGGTTCGACGAAATGTACATCGGAAACTGGGTGGGCTGAAGATTTGACACGTCGAC